TGCCCCCCGACCTGGCGGACGACAACGGGAACACGGGCAGCGCGCGCGGTGTCCGAGGACTACCCCCCGCCCCTCCTCGCCGCCCACTCATGTGCCCAGTCGCGAAAGGTTACCAGACCAATATATCCAATGGAATGGGAGAAAAAAGGGGAGGACAGACGCCGGGGTAAAAACGGAAGAGGGGGGGGGCTCACACACAAAAAAAATGAAAATGCTCCGTCCGGCTCACTAGTCTTGCCAGTCCTGCTCGTCCTGCTGCCGGCCTGCGACGCTGGAAGGGGGTAGGGGCCTAACACAAGTGTGCCATATTTGTACCACCAGTAGCGGTTCGGGCGGCCCAGCCTGCCAGCCCAGCAGCCCGGCTCCCTTCTCTCCCGACTGGTGATTGTTTTCCTCATACCCCCCCCCCCCTTCCTTCAGCACCCTAACTGTTTATTTGCGGAGAGGCCAGAGGGCGGCTTCTCCTTGCGCCCGCACCTGCACCAACACTTGAAGCGAGACTTGAAAGCAAGCAATATTGAGTTTTTTAAGCGTTAGGACGCCCCTTCCCCTTCGACTCTACCCCTCGACCCCGAAAAGTAAAACAACGAAAACAACAAGGCAATGAAAAATTGAATCGTGCGAAGAACGCAACTGAAATCGACAAGAATCATTATTTTTGCTCCCAACGCAACAAACTCATTGAGACAGAAACAAATCTCAAACCCTCTGCCCACACTTCCGGGGTGAGTGCAGTTGTGGATCGTACGAGCGGGCTCGCTAGGTCGGCCCGACAGTGGCCTTCTAAATTCTGCAGTCGGGGGCCGGGCATGACAAAGGAATGCCTCAGCCGGACTTCCCGCTCTTTCCAAAATGGCGAGCGGACGCACGGTCCTTTCCTGCTGTCCACCCAACAAATTCTCTGTGTCCGCGTATGTGAGCGTGAGCCTGGGTCCGTGTGAGTGAGCGTTTTTTTTATTCGTTCGTTAGTGTTTTGTCCGGGCAGCAGGGGTCCAGGTGAAGCTTTGAAAGCATTCATATGGTAAAGGGCGGTAAAGGGGTACGCCGGAGAACACACACACACACGCACACAAACACACACACGCGCACACACACATAGAGAAGCGCGCGCGTACGCATGAGAGCACATAACTTTGTAGGGACATTTTAGCTTATAATTAATGCGTCGGACATGCAAGTATAGGAGAAGCTCAGAGCTCGCAAGTGGGTCATGGGGGGAGGTGTGGGGAAGTGCTCTGCGCAGAGACAAGCGCAACTTGCTTGAGGGCGAGACCACGCTCCTATTGCTCCAGACAGAAGCAAGTACTTGTTAACTTATGCCCTAAAGACAGCACCCCCCCCCCCCCCCCCCCCCCCGTAATATTATCGTCTGAGTTACTTTCTTTTTGTTTGCAATTTTCTGAAATGAACTACGATATAGTTTAGTATCTTTGATCGTCAATACTACCTTTGATCGTCAATATTGGTATCCAAATTCTCACCACACCACACCCACTCTCAGTGACATGGGGGCTAGGGGCGTAGCGC